TAGCCCCGAAATAGTTCACGTATACACTTTTCACGCGAACCGAGGTTTACCCACACCCCCCCCTGCTTTCGGTGGAGGTGCGGTAGCCCCGAAATAGTTTACGCATGGGTTAGTTGACGCGCTTTAAGGGAGGTTTCTACCTTGTTGGGTCAAAAAATGCATTTTTATTTTTTTGCATTATCGGACAGATCCATCCTTTAAGAAGATTAGCAGATTATATGTAAGTAATAAAATTTTTATTTTATACCCGAAATAAACTATGGTAAAACTTTAAACGCGTTTTTCTCAGAATTACATTTTTCAAGTTTACGGAAGTCCTCCAGGACGCTCTAATTAACCAATCGACTTGAAATTTTACAGACACGTTTACAACACGTGTGTCTATGTCATGAACCACGATTATTAAAAAATATTGAAAAGTTTTTTTTATAACCAATTATTTGCAAAAAAATTGAAAAAATCGACACCTAAGTTTTAATGTCTCGCCATTTTATCATTTTTTTTTTCTTGATTTTGGTTCATGCCATATAAATTATGAAAATACTCCCTTCTAATACTCCCTAGAATATTCCCTATAAATTTCAAAAAAATAGAAAATGGTGTTTTTGAGATATTCAAATTTTTGTGTGTTTTTTTACTTTATTAGTTTAAAATCATTATTATAAAAATTTGGGATAATTTTTTTTTAAACTATGATCTAAATAGCGTATTTTATGTTCAATGAATTTTTTTCTTAGACGTTGTCTAATAGGCGAAAAAATTCATTGAAAATTTTGCAGTCCTCATTTTGCGCAGGCTCTATTTCGGAAACGCTACATTTATTATAGAAACGATTTAACAGGGGTCTAATACTCATAAAGACCTGTTAAAAAACGAGCCATCAAAAATAATAAGGTCGAAGTTTGACTCCTTGTGAATTGGCATAGAATGCCCCATATATATATATATATATATATATATATATACACACACACACACATATATATATAGGGGAGACCGGGGCTAACCCGACAACGGGGCAAACTTGACACTGATCTTTTTGCCAATTTAAATCTATCGTAGAAACTTGCCTTTCCTACTGTAAATGCGTCTTTATGTGCCATCAGTATTATCAACGGAATTTGGTAACATTCTGAGTTATAGTGTATTTTTTAACGCGACATAAGCGTTTTTGATAGTGAAAAGTAATTTTTCTGATGTCTCAAAAATGTCTACTCTTTCATCGAGCTTTACCCTTGCAAATCTACCGGTAAGTGATTTTGATGGGAAATTTGATGCTTTATACAAATCCGATAATAGTTTTTGCATATTTTCAAAATTTTTATATTTTTGGAGTAACAAAAGTAAAAGACGACGTTCGGAGCAAAGTCGACGGGGCAAAGCCGACACGCTGTTTTATTAACTCATAATAATAAACGATGCTTGTGATGCAGCTATATGGCCCATGACAAATGTGTGCACACGTGTAATCGCAAATTTACTTGCATAAATTGTTTTTCAGACATGAGTTTAGATGAAAATAATTGAATGTTCAACAATTTTTGTTCTCATTATTTCCAATGATTGTTTTACTTAATTCCAAATTTTTGTACTTTCTAAATACACAATAAACAAATGTATATTTAATTTCAGATAAAAAATAAGTTCCAGATCAAATTGTGTCGATCAAGCAAAGTGTCGAGTTTAACCCGGCATTTTTCAATTTGAAAATTTGTCTTCGCGTCACTTTTCTTTTCCTGAGGGCAAAACTAAGCGACGTACAGCAAAATTTCTTTAAGCAATTTTGTACCTAAAGGAACGCTCTTTAAATGTGTACCATTAAATTTGCTTGAAAATTTTAATTAATTGTTAAAAATTGCCTTTGAAAAAAATTGTGTCGGGTTATTAGCCCCGGTCTTTCCTATATATATGTATATATATTTGATGAATTTGACCAAATTTTTATGCACTTTTAAACTATGATTTATCTTCGCTGTACCATCGTTTCTTCAACACAATTTACTCCAATGCAAACAGTATTTAATTTGTTCGAAAGATTCATCAAAATCAAATATAAATTTTCATAAATATCAGCTCAATACAAACTGCGATTTAACAATCGATTTTATTTTATCTTAGATTTTTTAGATGAGTATATTATTCAACGGTTCGGGAACTATTGGCACGTATTGTATGACATTACATGTACGTGATGTTACATGTTTGTATGCAAGTTTACATTTCCCTTTTATATGGCTTATTGCGGTACTTGATAAACATTTTCATTAACAAAATATAAGGCATCTCGACCATCAAAGACAATGCATAAGAACACAGATAACTGATAGTAATGTATCCCACATTCATAACAACCTGGAATCAAAAAGTAAAAAAAACAAATAATACATTTTTACCGTATTTCTCTATTAATGCTGGAATTTCAAATATTTGTATACTTACAAAGGTCAGAGGTTCAAAATGAATCGACGTTTCACTGTATAAATGAATCGATTGTATGATAACCGGATTTAAAAGATAAGCGCAGTATGTGAGCCTGCTAAGAGGAATCCAGCCTTTGAATGAGAGTAACTGATTAACGATGCCTATAGCAAAGTAAGCATACAATGATAAAAATGATGTTTTTAAACTATGACAATATTTAAAATGTATCACTAATATATTACAAATATTCCAATTTTTATAAGATGTATTTATGCATTAATAAATAAATAAACGAACCTCCGTGTTTAGTTGAACACACTATTACAACACATGCAATACATATGGCCCAAAATATTCTGTGCAGTGCTACATAAATAGAAGTAGCTAGAACGGATGTAACTCGATTGTAAGACAAAAATAGTACGGATACTTTGCAAAAAATAGCCAGGCACCAACACGAAATTATATGTTTCTGAAATATATGTCAAATTAATATAATACATTTTAATTTATGCGATACTATATAATTAATTTACATGGAACATGGAACTAGTTAGTTTATATAGAATAAGTTTATATAATCCATAAGTTTTTCAATGACTATTTATTTTTAATATGTTATATAAAACAAAAGAAATATACTTTACATCTTTTAAGGCAAAATTATTCTTTAACTTTGCCAAAATGTAACCCGTAATTATCCCAATAATAAATGGACTTATTCTCATCCATGGTGGGATATAGAAGATATCTACAAGATTATACTGTTCATCACGTCTGTAACAATAAAAAAGAGCATCCTTTTAACTTGATTTCTTAATAAGTAACATACTTTAGTAACTTACGTCGCGACATGTTCGTAAACGTGTGAAATATAACTGTTAAGAATAACTGAGCCTATTAAAAGTGCACTCAATATCGTAACAACGGCATAGAAGTATCTGAAATTTATAATATATTTATTCAAGTATACTCGAAGAAGACATTAATTATAATAGTTGGTTAACATACATAGTCGAAAGAATCAACAGCGCCATAGTAATTACATGGAATTGCATATCATTAGCTAGATACCAACTCCAACTCACGCACTGTAATGCAATAAAAATTTTAGAAAAGTTTCTATGCGTCTCCAAGTATAATTTTAATTTGATCTTATCAAACGTGTTCGTACCATTGCATCCAATTCAAAGAAATTATTTATGTACAGAAGATTTCTCCACCAATATTTCGCACAAGTTTCGTGTGATTTTTCGTACATGTAAAATTGCGATGTTTTATCGAACCAAGCCGAGCTTAATTGCGCTATCCCTAACATAATCATGTAAGCCGGTGTCAGCCTTAAAAAGAAAAATTTTATTACAGCCGCGTGTAAAAAAGGAAAGTTATTATTTAGTTTACATCGAAATTAATATTCAAATTTCTTTGTAACATATTCTCTTATTTTGTTTATTACTGCAATAATTTTATTTTGTTGTTTGTATTGTTTTCTGTGTTCTTCAAACACATCACAATTTTAAATACTTACCGAATAAATCTTTTTATCAGATAAATAAAGAATTCAATTAATTTTTCTCCGCAAAAAATCGGTTTTGGTACTTGGTTCGTCTTATCCCGCAAATACATATAAGTCACTAAACATCCGCTTGAAAGAAAAAAAATATCAACGGCCATTAATCCAATGTCAAATAAGTAAATATAACTCTCTTCGTATTTCCACAACACTACTTTATTATCTGTGAGCATAAAGAAATTTTGGTTATGCGTATTAAACAATAAAAAAAAAAAAAACCAAAAATATCAATTTTACAAATTTATTATAAATTACTACTTGCCAAGAGAATTCAACGTAAAATGTAGACTATGTATGATGATTATCGAACACATGCTTAGAAATTTTAAGCCGTGAATGACGGGTATTGTGCCAGCGTCTAATTTTGTGCAAAATATTTTTTCCGCATTTGTGTAAGCGGAGAAACATATTAATATTTCTCCAATTTTACTTTTCCGATATGAAGACAAATTTATTTTCATTCCTGTTTCCTTAGACACGTTTTCCACACCTAAATCATAATTCGATGTCTTTATAGTAATAATACAAAAATCAAAATGCTTTAATTAAGCAAGATCAATATTAAACAAGGGGGAATTCTATACACACGAATAAGCCATATGTAGCACAAGATGTAGCTACATAATATTTTATAATTAATTATTAATTACTTGAAGTAATAGCTGATTGCGAATTGTTAATAATTTTTACACTGAAGACGAAGACTTGATTTGTAGAAAATTGTAGTTAATAAAAACGGTAAATAATTTGTTGTAATGGAAATTATTTTTATAAGTTTTAGATATGACACTTATACCATTACCAGTTTTATTCATCTTATTTTTCTTTACTTGTTTTTTATATATAAATATATCATATATTGTTCCGATTGATGTCATGAGAAACGAAAACCCTAAGCCAACACTGCAAATAGAATATTTCTTGGTTGATTCTTTATATGCTTTCGGAGGATTAAGATTAAAATTATATACTTATATATTATTATTAATCTTTTCTGTTATAAATATACTATTGTTGTGCTTGTATATTGTCGAGTAATTACAATTTATAAATTTCTTGAGACGTACCAGATAAAACGTAACACACTATTGGGTTGCATTTTGTTATTATTTAGATCTTTAACCTCGATTAGCTGAAAGTCCGCAAAGTAGAGATCATCGAAGATAACTCTGTCACGAAATATTCTTTCCAAAATAAAGCTCAAATTATTTATAGTGCACGATGCTGGTAAACAGAGTCCGAGCGTAATCACATTCTAAGATATAACTTTCTGTATATATTTAAATGTCAAACGCATCCTTTATCACATAAAGATTTAATATACTCTTACCTGGTTAACCATACTTATGTTATTATAAATAATACTGTTATGTCTAAAATGAACTACAAAATAATGCATTTGGAAAGGTGGAAATTCCTTTCGCGGATCGCGATAATGCATGTTATTTAGAGGAACCGTATTTATCGTATCAAGACACTGACTACGACTGCCCAGCCAATAATTATTTCCGTAAAGAAAACCCGGTTTAAAGCCACCACTGGAATCTAATACTAAAAATAAAAATGACAATGCTACTACTTATGCAAAAACAATAAATGACTAATTTTTACTTATTATCTATTAATTAATCTTCATTGATTACACTAATTATGTAAAACAATATAAGAATATACGAGAGCAGTTCGATAAGTCAGTGACTTTGAAATGAAAAAATCTTCGTTTTACACATAATTTGATTTACTTTTTAACATAGTCTTTTTTTAGCTCGATACATTTTGCCCAACGGTTTTCCCAACTTCTTTAAGCCTTCCAAAAAATACGATTTCTCAAACTCTGCAAAATAAGCGTTTGTTTTTCCCCGTAAAAAGTAGTGTTTTATCAGCACGAAAAATTCACTTTTTTCCATTGTAGCAAAGAAACACAAACTTATCTGCTTTCAAACACGGTCAAATTTCTATTTGACAGAGCTACTTGAAATTTTGTATATACTTAAATAAGATGGCAAATTTCAAAAATTAAAATAAATTGTTATTTGAGCGCCATTGTCAAAGTCACTAAGTTATCAAACTTCCTTCGTAATCTTTATATGTTTAATCTTGTGTGAACGTGTATGCTTGCGTGTGTTTGTGGTGAGAAAGAATGAGAGAGGGATTGAGAGAAAGAGAATAAGGAACGATTATAGATTAGATTTTTTTGTAAGGACATTTGAATAACTGAAGCTTGTAAAACAATTTTTCGAAAAATTTACCAGATTGTAAGATCAAAATTCATTTTTGTATACATATATAATAGAAAATATTCGGTTTTAATATATAACATCTTAAATTATGAATATACAATAAAATAAGCACAAATGCGATCTCTTAATTTATTACACTAATATTTCATAAATATTATTATTCATTTAAGATTAAACGATATTAATTAATATATTTAATTTAAATGGAATTGTATAATTGATCAATATAAATATGCTATATAGGATAAAGATGGGTGGTATGTCTTTTTTACTAGCTTTCTAGATTTTAGATTGGAGTAAATAGAGTTAATAGCGATTCAGTTATAATTTAAAATTTTACGTACCTTTCAAGCTCCACAGTATTCGTTGATTGACAGCATCTCGAAAATTTTTCAATTCCTTTCCGCATGACGTTGAGTTGAGAAGATCAGCTTTCGAAGCAATAGCATAAGCAGGCAATGCCTGAATACGAGCACTCTTAAATTCTTGAGTATGTGCAGAGACACAGAATAACGCAGCTAAGTTCGTACAGATGCAGAGAATAAATGCAAATTGCCGTTGCACCATTGTTACAAAAGGTGTTTAGCCTGTAACAGTCACTTTTATTTCTTCTTTACTGTGTAAATATCCTAGGTAGCACGTACACGTTTCAGAAATGTTTTATGAGCGTATTTCCGAAACGTTTTATAACCGCTTTGTATAGAAACGTTTCTCATGAGTAAAAATGTCCATTCGAAGAACGTTCGATGGAACGTTTCTTTTCCGATAAAATAACGTTTAAAAAACTATTATAGAAACGTTTGTTTTAATGATAATGACATTTTAGATAAAGACATTTAAAATGCCTACTTTTCACGTCTTTTGACCGTGTATATGACGTCTTTGAAACATGCGTGAGAATGTTCTAGAAGCTTTATGCATATACCATATGAAGTCTATTCTTTTTCGAAGAAATCCCTGCACATTATTCGTGCAATAAGTTAGAATGAAACAAAAATTATACTTGTCTCATTTTAACTTAATTGCATTACTGATGTGCACCAGTTCCGGAAGTTTTTCAAAACTTGATCGTATAATAAAATAAGACACAACATTGTGATTTTTTGTTTCACAGAATATACGTAATGTCCCGCTATCGCAAAAATTATTTATAATATTCACTATTTAAATAACATTTAAACGATTGGAATATTGTTATTTCTCCATATATTTCTGAGAGCTATTTATGAAATATGAAAATATTGTCACAGATAATGCCTTGATACACATTCTGCGTGAGTACCTTGAGCTTTAATTGAAACTACGATTAATCAAAACAGACATACTTACAAGGTACTTCGTAGATACATTGGGCGCACCAAATTATAAGAAAATGTCAAATTGTTTTCTTTTCTTGCTTCCGTTTTCATTCTTCCGCTGCCATTATATCCGCACTGTATCACAAAGCACATTTTCCTAAATGTGATATACTGACTACGCTAAGAAAAATATTCAAAAAATCTGTTTGATGAAGGTTGAAAAGAAACATGGAATTTTTTCTAAATGTAAGTATTGCACACACGAACAATTGCTAATAACAACTATTTATTGTTTGACTCGGACGCGGCTATCTGCAAGTGCATGAGAAGGCCTTTATGGCACCGTATGTATGTACTGTATAATATTATGTATAGTATAATAAATAAAAATTATAATTTAAATCTTGGTAATTTTAAGCCGTGTTGTTCTATTTCTAATTATTTGATTCCCATAGTTCAATATTTAGATTGAGGTTTATGTTTAATGCATTTATGACAAACTAAAACATTACTTATAGCTAGCAGTAGATATATACAAAATTGTATACATTTTTTTTTTATTTTGAAGGGTAATGTTTTTAGTAACATTCGTCAGATTTTGAATTTATTTTCCCCCCCTGCCTTCTCTTCAAAAGTAAGGATAACGTGCTTTGTTTCCAAAATATTACGTCATTTGACACACTCTACGGGATGGAAGAAATTTTTTTCTCAAACGTCATATTAATCATTATAAAATACGGACGTTTACTTGCAGATTAAGAAAGATGAGCTCCGTATTATTTATTTTCGCGGAGTTACAACGTGTCAAAGTTACCTATGGATTCTTCTTCAATCACCGCTTGCATTAGCCTTACCCGAGGAGCAGTTGCTGATCGGATTTTGCTCATCGTGTGTGTATGTGCGTATGTGAGTGTCAGCAGAGATATGGCCGTATGGGCGACTATTCCAGCCGCTCGACGCCATATTTTACACAAAGAAGAAGAAGAAGAAGAAGAATACTGCAGAAGTGACGAACCGTGGGGTATATATGTATCTCTGCTGACACACGCATATAGAATCAGAGCTAAACATTGACACTGAGCAAGCTTCACGCGCTGAGACTCATATACATATATGCGTGTATCAATAATGTTAACATCTTATGTGTTATCAACGTAATATTTTTACCACAAATTAAAAAGCATCAATATTTACTATAATAATTGTTATTATAATTATTATAATAATTAAGATAATTGTACTGACAAAAAAACAAAAGACAATTTTAATGTATGCAAGCTTATGCTAACACTTAACGAATGGGGTGGCGTCTCTCCTCAATTTACCCTAAAATGAAAAAATAGTATTTAAATACGTAAATGTTCTGTTATAATTATGTTGCATATTTTCTTATTTAATGTAAAACATATTTAACGTAAGTTTAGCATTTAGCATATTTTTTATTTTAAAAAATAATAATTTTTCAATGATATACATGCAACAGGAATATGAATCCGTAATTGTATATGGAAGCAGAAAAATATTGTAAGATCTGAGAAGATAATTAGAGTGATTGATAATTATTTGCAGCAAATTTAATAACGATCTTTGATACACAATTTCGTATTTATTTCGTACATTCATTTTACAATATCGTACAAATTATGTTGTTATATCACTTATTAATTGCCATAATTATTACAAAATTATTAGTTTGTTAATTGCATGTAAAGAATGTATATATGAATAAATTAAATCTATAAATTTTATGATTAATATTAGCAAATTTAATTCTAAGTTCAAATACAACGAATTTCGCATAAACGTTTGTAATACCCAAATTTCTCAAAATCATGAAGTATCAATTATAAAGAGCGTTAGCTAATATTAGAATGAACCCGTACATTAAAATTTTTAATTATTCATAAAGTATTATTTGTTTAGAACGATTGATTTTTTGTCGATTAATGAATTTACAAAAAATGAAGGTCATAGATAACAGAGATAAGGAGAATATGTAGGTATATCATATATTATAATCAATTAATATAATTTTTTACTAATTGTGGATCAAACAGGTTTGTAAGCCGTTATTTTTTCTCAAATGTCTATCACTTTATTAACAAAAATATGTCATTTTACATTATCTATCTTACGGTGTTTATTTCCATTTATCAATATCTGAACGAATACATACAAAATATCTAACCGTGTGTCAACTTTGTAATAATTACATTTCAATAATATTTAATATAACCGGAAAAATTATTTACGAAAATTTTACAGTAATTTATTTTGCATAGAATCAATACTATATGTTGATTAGAATTATAAATACAATCAAAATTATAAAATTAGATTACTAATACTAAAATTATTCAAATAATTTGAACGTTAGAATTTGACTAACAATAAGCAAAAATAACTATTTCGAATAATTTCTATATTTTAGTATCCGGATATGTTTTATAATTCTACTTTGTGTGTACAAATTATAACTCTAATACAAATTTGCACATTACATACGACGTCATATAGCACATAAATAAATTTACATATTAATATAAAGACTATAAGAGAGCATATAAAGAGAGCTCAGTTACACGGCGATATCAGACTTCCTAGTAATTATTAAAACAATTAGTAAATTATACATTTATAAAGAAGTTAATGTCTAATTAATAAGAGATCGCATTTTGTTGTTACATAACGTAAAGCGATCTTACTAATTATTCGTCAAATGCGCTTGTTTGATATATTCTATTATCCAAATCACAACAGTTGCTGGTGTTATATGTTATAGGTATGGCCTCCAGATTTCTTTAGGCATCCTAGATCCTTGTTGTCCGCTATGATTAGATCTGTATATTTATACACAGAGTAATTAAAAATCAAAAGAGTACAAATGTCATTAGAATTACAATGATATTGCTTACATGTATATTATTTGATTATTAAACCAAAACTGTGACTTATATTATTTATATTTTTTTAAATAGAACATCTATAGAATTACTATTTAGATTCCATAATACTTGCACAGTTACTCGTTTATGAAAGTATTTACACCGATTACTGAATATGTAGATAATATATAAATAACAGCATATCTGAGTTAACAGAAATTGATGTAAAATTGTTTAGAAATTTTATAATTTTATTTAACTATATATTATATATACCTATATACATATATAATAATTTATGAAATGATACGTTAATGATAAATGATATTATATTCAAATTTTATATAATTTGTTATTTTTAAATGTTAAATATGTAATTTTCTAATGTTAGTTATGCTAGAATATATAATAAAATATATTAATTACGGCTATTCTTCCGAAAACGTCCGTGCTCCGATTTAGGTGAAACTTCGTGAATAGGTTCCTTTTAGATAAAAAAGACATATACCAAAAGGATTTTTTGCGACTCAAAAGTTAAGCAATTTTTTAAATATTTTTAGTATATGTTTTTTTTATTTATTTAAAAAAAACCTATTTACAAAGTTGACCTAAATTGGAGCACGGATGTTTTTGGAAATTTTGCTTTAATTACTAAAAAAAAATACTATAAATATTTGTGACATTTACCTCTGCTGATCTTTTTGATTTTCAGAACCTCGCTCATGTCTATCATTATGGAAACTTGTGGACGCATAATTTTCTGCAGTTACAGATTGTTGTATTGTTGCACCTACGTTATAATGACCAGTTCCTCCATCAGATTCTGAGTGCTTGTTTATATTATGACACTTAACCCGGTGACGTATTAATTGCTTTGTTTTATATTGTTTTGTTCCATCAAATGTCTTAATAGACCAACTGCAATGTTTGCAGATTGTTTTATAATTTTTCGTGTCGACTGTGAAGTATTGCGATAGTTTGCTACACCTATTAATTTCTTCTCGTATTTTATCCGTCATTTTTATGTGACTATTCAGATGACTCTGTAAATGTCTCTTATAATATACACAAATATCTCTTCCACAAATTTTGCAATTCGCAATATATTTCTTTTCGTGTGTGAAATATCGCCATGGCGAGCCATCGGATTCGTCTTCCC